ATATATATATTAAAAGGAATGATTCATGCGAAGATTTAAGAAATCGGTAATCTTTGATTATTGATTCTAGGCATACGAAAGTAACAATAATGTTATTATTGTTGTAACAAACATGCATGAGATGTAGTTAGATCTTAATGAATCAGAGGAAATAAAATCAAAAAGCATAAGAAAAAGCATTAAACCGAGAATGAGATCAATAATATGCAACAAATAGAATGAAAGGGTACCTGCAAAATGCGATTGATTGAAGGCGCGAGGGAAAAGAGAAAAAAAAGAAAGAAAAAAAAGACGACGAGACGAAGATGAAGAAGAAGAAAACCTTCAGATGCTGCGCCGCGGCTCATCTCAAATGTTCAAATCTTTATATATGCCCTCCCGGGGTAAATCCTATAGTTTGCCACATTTCAATTTTTTTTCTATTTTTTTTCAAGCAAAATTAACCTTGCATTTGAAATATTAAAAAAACATGAAAATGATATATCTATAAAAAAACAACTTATATAACAATTTGTAAAATACGATTGATTTTTGTGTTTATCTATATATTATTAATAAATATCTCTCAATAATAAATAAAGTGATAAAGAAGGATAATAATAAAAATAATGTTACATATGTAACATTATTTTAAAAAATAATTTAATTTTATTTGTGTTTAAACTATTCAAATAGAAAATTATTTTTTTTAATGAAATTTGAGATTAAACAATTTACAATTTAAAATTTTATTAAATATATATTTAGTTTAGTATATTTTGTTAATCAAATAGTTAATTAAACATAAATTAAATTAAATTAAATTTTGTTTTAGTATTTGAGTCAATAAGTATGTGAGAGTAACAACTCTTAAAAATTAGTCTATATAATCAAAGTATTTTTATTGATGGTATGAAAAATTTAAAATTACGTGAGTTGATAGGACTTATAAATTTTTCATAAAAATTAAATATCATTCACAAGGTCTTAATTTTCATGATATTCAACAAATTATTTCTATGTTTATACCATCATCAACCAATAAAGATTCAATCATTTGAAACTTAAATATTAATGATATTTTACTTGTCAAGTTAGCTAATTTCACATAATGAAAATTATGACAAATAATGAAATATTATGGGTACCTAGGGATCGAATGTCAATATGGAGCTTAAAAAAATTTCATAAGACAAAGCTTTTGATTTGGAAAGAAGTACTTGTATGCACCTATTTGTACTTGTATGCACCTATTTTACATAAGAGAGTTACAAAGAATACAAATCAGTTTATTATTGATAAAGTGAATCAATGTTTGAGCTCTAGGAGGACTAGGAGGTTATCTTTTGTAAGTAGGGTCGCATTGGTAAAATATGTGTTGTAAGCTTTGTCATCATATGTTATGCAAACAATGAAACTTCCTTGCTCTATTTGTGACAAGGTGAATAAAAAGTGTAGTGATCATGAAAGGGAGATTCATATGGTGGTTTGGGACAATATTTGCAAGCCTAAGGAGTATGGTGGGCTTGGTTTAAGAAAAGACAAAGGATATGAAAAATGTCTTTATGTTAAAAGCTTTGCGGAAGTTGTGCACCCAACCTATTAATTTGTCTAATTTGATCCTTAGACAACACTATATATGTGGATCTAAGTTGTTACCCAAAATTCAAAATTTGCATGCTACCTAGTTGTAATTATTATCATGTTGTGATAATTGCCCAACCTTCCAACAAAATATCATGTGAAGAATGGGTAATGGAGGTTTGGTTCATTTTGGACTGATGAATGGATGCTTAATGTTAGTCATTTGGTGAAAAATGCGCAAACAAGCCTTAATGATTTTAAGCTTGAGAAAGTTGTTATTGATTTTATTAAATAAAATGGTGAGTGAGATTTTGGAAATTTGAATATTTTATTTCCTTTTCTTATGGTGCAAAGAATATTCAATATTATTTCTCCTAAGCATTATAATTAATGGACATAATTGTTTGGCTTGAAAATTATTGATGAGACATCTTTAACATTGTCATTAGTTTACAAGGCTTTTAAACATGGAATAATGACAATGTCTTGTCCAATATTATTCCTCCTAAACATTGTCATTAGCTTATAGGACTCTCAAATCCTTTGATGAACATTGAAAATAAATTTATTTGATACAATTTGGAAGTGAAAACGCCTTAACATTTTTGTGTGTTTCTATGAAAAGTTGTTCATGGAGCCTTGTTCGCAAACTTAGAAAGAATAAGGAGGAAATGGACTCAATTATTGGGGATAATGTGAATTTTTTCATAATTACACCATAGATTTATTCCATGTATTTTGAGATTGTGGTCATGGTCATCAAGTGTGAAAGGATGTGTTTTAAAATTTAAGTGAGATTCTTTTTTAAAATTTTTCTAAAATTTCTTTGAAATACTATTTTTGGTACTACTTTGCAAAGGATTTAATAGAGGTAAAATGACGTTATTTTTTAAAACATGTGCATGTTGTATGTTATAGTGATAGCTAATGTTAAAAAGTTGGTAGAATTAATTTATACAAACTCTAGTGTTATTCAACTAAATGATGTGGATAACTTGAGAATATGCAAGCATTGTTTCATTAAGTGACATCCTCTAGAGTCAAGAGTAGTTGATATTAACCATGACAAATCTATTATGACTAATAGGTTGAACACGTATTGTGAGATGATTTGGGACCAATTCAAACCCTTCATTTTGGGACATGCAACAAAATTTTGTGGTTATTCAATGGTTGGAGATGAGTTGTTGGGATATATAATGGGTAGAAGCTTTCTTGGTGCTTTAGATGTATAATGGTTTATGTAACATCCCAAATTTTTCTACTAATACTACAAATTATTATTATTTATTTTTGTATTTATGAAGATTATTTCCTTATAATTATTTTGATTAATAAAATGAGTTTGATTGAATTTTTAAAGGTTTTTAATAATAATCATTTATGAAAATTATTTTGTATAATATTATTAATTATGATATTTTTGTTATAATTATTATTTGAAGAAAATCATGTTTTAAATTGTATTGATATTTTATTTTGATATATATATACGTTATTTATTTATTTATTTATTAATCAGTAATTTGGATTTTCATAGCTCTGGAACGGGCCGTTCCACTTTGGGAACGGGCCGTTCCAAATCAAGCATTCGTGGGTAAAATTTTAACCCAGAACGTGCCGTTCAACTTTAGGAACGGGCCGTTCCGGATGTGATTTTAAAATAACAAAATTTGACTCAGAACGGGGCGTTCCACATTGAAACAGGCCGTTCCAGAAACCCCAGAACGGGTCGTTCTGGTTTTGGAACAGGCCGTTCTGGGAGAGGCTTTTGTACCTATTTCGTGTGCCCAGAACGGGCCGTTCCGGAATCGGAACGGGCCGTTCTGGCCGCGGCCTATGCCTATAAATAGAGCGTTTTGCACTTTCTAAAACTCATTATCTCTTACCTGATGTCGAAAAATATGGTTGTTTAATTAATATGAGTTTTTTGTTCATCACGAGAACATGTAGGGTATATGAATCCTAAAAAGTTGTCCATGTCCCTGAATTTAAAAATTTATGTAGCCCTTACTTAATGAGTAGTTCGATTGGCACATGATAAACATTAAACATATTGGTTGCCTTTATGTACAGATACTTTGATCGACATATGATACATATGAGATTATATACTTTTGAAGGTTATCACTTACCTGATGTCGAAAAATGTGGTTGTTTAATTGATGAGTTTTTTGTTCATCACGAGAACATGTGGGCTATATGAATCCTAAAAAGTTGTCCATGACCCTGACTATAAAAATTTATGTAGCTCTTATTTAATAAGTAGTTTGATCGGTCTATGATAGACCTTAAACATCTTGGTTGCCTTTATGTATGGATACTTTGATCGAAATATAATGCATAGGAGATTATAAATTTTTTAAGGTTATCTTTTACATGATGTAGAATAACGTGGTGGTTTAATTGATGAATTTTTTATTCATCTCGAGAACATGTGGAATGTTTGAATCCTAAAAAGTTGTTCATGTCCCTGAATTTAAAAATTTATGTAGCTTTTATTGAATGAGTAATTTGATCGGCACATGATAAACATTAAGCATCTTGGTTGCCTTTATGTATAGATACTTTGATCGACATATGATGCATATGAGATTATAAACTTTTTAACGTTATCTCTTACCTGATGTCGAAAATGTGATTGTTTAATTTATATGAGTTTTTTATTCATCACGAGAACATGTGGGATATATGAATTATAAAAATTTGTCCTTGTCCCTAAATTTAAAAATTTATGTAGCCCTTATTTAATGAGTAGTTTGAACGGTTTATGATAAACCTTAAACATCTTCGTTGCCTTTATGTATGGTTACTTTGATCGATCTATGATAAACCTTAAATATCTTGGTTGCCTTTATGTATGGTTAATTTGATCGACATATGATGCATATGAGATTATAAACTTTTTAAGGTTATCTCTTACTTTATGTCGAAAAATGTGGTTGTTTAATTAATATGAGTTTTTTCTTCATCACGAGAACATGTGGGGTATATGAATCCTAAAAAGTTGCCCATGTCCCTGAATTAAAAAATTTATGTAGCCCTTATTTAATGAGTAGTTTGATTGACACATGATAAACGTTAAACATCTTGGTTGACTTTATGTATGGATACTTTGATCGACATATGATGAATATGAGATTGTAAAATTTTTAACGTTATCTCTTACCTGATGTCGAAAAATGTGGTTGTTTAATTGATGAGTTTTTTGTTCATCAGGAGAACATGTGGGGTATATGAAACCAAAAAAGTTGTCCATGTCCCTGAATTTAAAAATTTATGTAGCCCTTATTTAATGAGTAGTTCGATCGGCACATGATAAACACTAAACATATTGGTTTCCTTTATGAACGGATACTTTGATCGACATATGACAGACGATGTCATTCAATTTATTAAATACCCTGCAGTGAGGACAACATCGCCCCACAACTTTGGGGGTGCATTGACATTTAATAAAATAGTATGAACAGTGTCCATAATATGTTTATGTCTTAAAGCCACCATTGTTTTATGCACTAGTGCTTGCAATTTAAAATGTTCATAAATGTAAAGGAAATTTGCTATGGATGCATGTGTTTGCAAGAGGCGAATCAAGTTGCAATCCTACTTGCAAAGCATGGTTTAGATATAAATTTTTGCTTTTAAGATTTTATGGTGTATTATGCCTACTCTTGTTTCTTCTCTTTTTTGCATGATGTTTCTTGTATTGCTTATTCATTGGATTTTTAATCGTCTTACTTCTTTTGGGACTTAGTCCCATTATGTCAACAAAAAAAAAATTAATCATATTAAATAAAGTAACTTAAATCTCCATGCTTCTTTTCTAATCTCATTATCACTATTATATCCATCACAATGGTTCAAATGTATAGTCACTTAAATTAACATATATTATTTATTTTTATAAATATCAAGTAATTTTTTTAATTTAAAAATTAAAAACTTGTGCAATATCATCTTTTTGTGTGTGTATAAAGGTCTTATCAAGGTTAGAATGGATAACCTTATTCATTAAACTTAAACTTTTTACTACTACCTTATACTAAGCAATGAATTTGTGCAATGTTATCTTTTTCTTCAAATAGACATATTCAAAATCTATATACAAAAGTGAGTGATGATGCTTCTTTGTTTATAACTTTTCATTTATACAAAAATAAAATATATTATTTTGCATTGTAAAGTTAAAAATATATAAAATTAAATTTTTACCATGTACTTTATCTACTTCTCGCACTTATGCATTGTCTCTCATTTTTTCTTATAAGAACATTTTCGATGATAACTATGATGAAGTTATTGAACTCAATTTTGATAGGTTGTGTAATGTCACATGAAATTTAATAATTTCTAAATTATCTCTTCAATAGTATTAGTGGAGTCAAGATACTATGCCTCTATATTTTATTTAAAAAAAATTTAAATTCAATAAAATTTGGGATTAAGTAATAAAAGTGATTAAGAATTTGAATGGTTAGAAATAGTTAACTTATTTCAATGGTTATATGAGTGGTTAATTTATAAAACTATTTATTATTATTTATGAATTTAAAGAATAAAATTATCTAAAAAAATATGAAGACAAAAAAATGATTATATTCATCTATCTCCCTTATATATAAGTATAAATAATTAAAAATATCTTTAAAATGTGTGTGCAGTTGTTTAAAAAGTTTTAATAATTATTAATAATTCTTACTTATATTAAGAGTAAATTTTATATAAAAATTGTCAAATCAATCGTTGTGAATGAAAATATGCAAATAACTAATTCTCTTGTTTAAAAAACTCGTAAACATCAATACTACGAGACATTTTTCGTTAGAAAATACTTTGTTTTAGATTTAAATGTCAGTTTCATTTTCATTTCATGATTTCATATTGAGTGAATTTAATATTATAAGTTTCATATTTAAAAATAAAAAAAAATTGATTCAAAATTATATTACAAAATTAAAAATAATTATTATTTTAAAAAGATCAAATTAATTTAAATGTAAAAAAATAAAAGATTAAAATAAATTTTTTAATAAAGAAATAATCAAAATAAATCTAAAAAATAAGATAAAGAGTTAAAAATATAGTTAAATATTAAAAATATTTTATTTTAGTTCTTATATATATATATATTATCCTTTTAGTTTTTATAATTTATTATTGTAAAACTAAAAAAGATAAAGTTTATAGAATAGTAAGAAAAAATATACGGAAAAATAAAATATTTTTTAGAATTAACTATATTTAATTAATGAATTTTTGTTATTTTTTATTTTTAATTTCTGAATAAAATTTATTTGAAGAAATTTATTCATAAAAAAATTCAAAATTAAAGACCAAAATTTTAATGGGTAAAAGTTAAAGGATTAAAAATATAAATCATAAAAAATTTAATAATAAAATTAGTAAAAATTTATTAAAAAGTAAAACTAAAAATCAACAAAAGTGAGTGATTAAAAATATATACGTAGTATAATTTCATTTTGTTTTTTAAGTATTTAAGCTATGGAAGAAAAATAATTAAACGAAACTTTTTACTTGACAGGGACAGCAATGAGATTCAACATTTAAGAAAAAGATTTTGTAAAAGAAGAGAGAGTGAAAAGCCCTAGTGTGCAGTTGGGACATAGGTATCGCCATGGCACTTCACGGAGCCGCGAAAGGCGTTTGCGTTTCCATAAGGGTGGCTTGTCGGCACTACTCTTGGGAGAACAGCGTGAATCTGATTAAGCAGTTGCGAGAAAGAACGAGCGCTCCCATGAAGGACGTGAAAGCCGCACTGGTGGATTCTAATTGGGACATCGAGGCCGCTCAGAAGGAGCTCCGAAAGAGGGGAAAGGTTTTAGCCTCCAAAAAATCCTCTCGCACTGCCTCCGAAGGCTTGCTCGCCCTCGCCCAAACCCCTTCCAAACTCGCTCTCGTCGAACTCAACTGCGAAACCGACTTCGTTGCCCGAAACGACATTTTTCAACACTTGGCATTGTGTTTGGCCAAGCAAGCTTTGTCTCTGGACAACTCCTCTTCTTCTGCCTTTCATGTTGGACCGCAATCTTTTGAGGTAATTTAATGCTTTCAATCTTGTTGGAATGAAATGAGTGTGTTTGTTCAACTTATCACTTGCTCTGACCAGGACTTGACACTGAATCTTGAGCATCCCAAGATAAATGGAGAGACAAGCATTCACAATGCAATCACTGAAGTGGCTGCCATGATGGGGGAGAATGTGAGGCTTAGAAGAGGCTATGTCATGCCTACATCTCCCCACGGTTTTATATCCACGTATCTTCATACCAGTCCCCAACCAGGTAAGTAAATTCAACCCTTTCCTTTTAATTTCTGCTCTCAACTTCTTCAAATCAAGTTATTATCATTTTGTTTTTCTATATCTTCTGCTGAGTTCCAATTTCTTTGCAACGCCTACAAACTTTAACCTACCAGGCTTCTGATCAGGTTTGGGTCGCATTGCTGGAATTTTGTCTCTTCAAGTAGATGATGGTAAAACGCAAGCGGAAGCTCTTCAACGTGTTGGATCGGAATTGGCAATGCATGTAGTGGCAGCAAAGCCATTATTTTTAACGAAGGAACTCGTGCCTTCAGATGCGTTGGAAAATGAGCGGGAAATTCTTAAGTCTCAGGTATTTTGTGACTCCTTTTGGAGTCAAAATTGATAGACTCGCTTAGGCTTCTGCATGTTTTGATCTTCAAGAATTATTTGAAAATTCGTCCCATTTAGGTACAATGTAAATTAATAAATTTAGATAATGAGCCTTTCTCGGCCTCTCCATTATTGTATCCATCGTTGCATGCTAATTGTTTTCAATTAACATATATTTTCCCATAAGGGCGGTGACTGGTGAGTATGAAAGTTGCAGTACTTGCAACAGACCAAATGGAAAGGGTTGTTTAAGATTGTGTGTTGTAGGGTTTTTCTGGGTGATTTAAGCTGGCTTGTAGTTTAATAGATTTTAAATATTCTTCAATTGGCAAAACGGACATTTGAACCAGTCTCTTGATTGACTATGGTCAGGTACACCTGCACAAGAATGATAACCTCCATGTACATAAGCATTGTCTTTTTTTCTCTTTCACCTTTTTCCTGCTATACATATGCCTTGATGAGTAAGAGTTTAGGATTGGCCTAGTTAGACACTTGGACCAATTCAACTTTTTGATTAACCAATTTTTACTAGCACATAAAAATTCAGAATTGAAGAAGATTTTGTTCAGCAAATGCATTCTGTCAAAATTCATCTCATATTGGATTATTTAATTCATACAGTTCACATACCGAAATTCCACTTTCTTTACCCTATTATAGAAACCAAAAAAAAACTTTACAACTCTAATTGTGGTTTTATTACTTCAGGCAGAAGCCTCTGGTAAACCTCAGATGGCTATAGACAAAATGGTTGAAGGACGTCTCCGCAAGTATTTTGAGGATGTCGTATTTATGGACCAAAAGTTTATTATGAATGATACTTTAAATGTGAAGGTATGTGATGTTTCTGTGAATTGAAATTGATTCATTTATGATTTACAATTTATGTGAGAATTGAAATTATGAGGGCTATATTTATTGATCAATGTCATTATTTTGATCGATGTAAAAATGATAATTTTACCCATGCAACTTTATTCATAATCCATCACCCACTTTAATTATTATTATTATTATTTTTATTTCATTTGACACTCTTCCTTTATTCTTAGACTGGGAAAATGAGCCATTGACATTTGGTGACTACCATATTCACCTTAACAATAAGTATATGAATTTTTATGGAAGAGTAAAAGATTTTTCAGTATTGACCCTGGACTGATTAAATAAAAGAAAAGTCATTTGCTTCTTCTTAAAGTAGTAAAGCTTAGAAAAACTGATAAAGCACAAGAAACAACAAAGTTTGTCTAGTTCCTGGATTGAGAAATATAGACATGCCAATTTCATTAGTTTATCCATGTATTATGAATTTATAATGCTGGATTTGGGGTTGAAACAAACATATCGCAAGCCATCAACAAACATCACAGGCAAATGCATATCTTGCCTCATAGTTCTGATTTTGGCCATTTCTAACTTCACATTAGATTTTAATGGCTGAATTAATCCATATGGAGATCCTATTTGTTTTATTGTTTATCAATGATTTATAGACCTACCGAGTGTCATTGAGGATCATAGGTGGCATGTTGTGTCAAAGGTTGCAATATACATAATTTTACTTAAAAGTAATGGCTCCTTGTTTGATTCTCACAATTATCTGAAAGAATTATGAATTATTCAACTTTAGCTTTATGACAGTCGATATAAAATAATTTAATAAAGCTATTGAGAATAGTATCTGAACTTCTGTTCTAAAATAAACTTATCAGTGTGAGGATTTGTTTTCTGTAGTATTTTTTTAATTCTTTTGTTTGTTAAGCGGGCATCAAATGTTTTCACTATTCAGCACCATGGTTGATAAGTGGGAGATTCAAAATCTGTAAATAGCTCCTGCATCAGGTGTAGGTGGTCATAACTTGAGGATTTGGTGTAAGGTGTCAATTATGATTTCACGATTGAGAAAGGCAAAAGAGAGGGTGGTGCTCCTGAGAGCAAGAGTTTGGTTGCCTTTCTTGGAAAGGCCAAATGCCATGGGCATCTCTTTGGATTATGGACTTGTGGTTAAAACCTAATGTCTTTTTAATTTCAACTTACATCTAGTTCATATGCCCCCCTAATCCAAATCATCTAAATGATGTCTCTTTCACTTTTGAGTCTAGGATAAGAAATAGGAAATGAGAAACCTATATTTGCTGCTGGAAATATGAGAACCATTAGTAGCATTAGCCTTCAAAGCCATTCAAAGTTTCAAACTCTTGGATGGCCATAGTATGTCTTCTGGACGCTTACCAGCAAATGAAAGTGTTTTGTTGAGTGGAGTGCCAGTAAGCATTTTTCTTTACCCCAGGACCACAACCCAGATGTAGAATTTCATGATAAGCTTCCAGTTTTTTGCGCCTTTTCCTAGTGCAAAATACTCTTTAGATGTGTATTGCTACTTTTATGTGTGTTCTGTGTACCTTTTGTGAAGCATCCATCAATGGAGCCAATGTTTGATAATTGATTGTCTAGTATCTTTCATTTCTCTTTGCAGGCAGTGCTTGATAATCTATCCAAGGAGGTGGGTTCGTCTGTAAGGGTTGTTGACTTTCTCAGAATGGAAGTTGGGGAAGGAATTGCAAGGTAAAACCAGTATCTTTTTGGATACTCTTCTTTTACTATCTTATTTTAGAGTCGAGTTGTGTATTATTGAAAAAAAAAATCACTGTAATTGCTCTGTAGTTTAAGGGTTTAATCAAATTGTATTGAATAGTGGTTTAGTTAGTGATGTATTACTGTACTAGTCATGTTTTGCATGTGTTCATCATGGGTTAATGACACGATTTGGGGTTAAAGTGTATGCTTACACAAAGATTACTTTGACGTGTCTCTGACCATGTGGCATTGTCAGTTGGAAGTGTTGAATTTCTCCATTTTATATGATAATGTGTATAGCCCAAATTATTTCTTTCCTCACCTACCTACCTAAAATTATTACATGTCTTAATGATCAGTCAAGTTTCTTTTCGGCTTTGCAGCATCCTATTCCATGACTGACCTGACCTCCTGCCCTCAATAACAAATGATAATATAATTGTGGATCAAATTCTTATTATGTTTTTATGTCTGAGAACTTGGTTGATTTTACTTTTGATTGGTTACCAATTTTACTGACCATCTAAAATTTTCAGGCAAGAAACAGATGCATCTGAGACTGTTGCTCAGGTTGCCTAAGTTTAAGGTGATTCTGTCTACTCGGGAAGGAAACCCTCTGAGAGCTCAGCTTTGTTTTTAAGGCTTTTGCTCTCTAGCTGATAATATTTAAACACAAATGGGGAACGGGGAAGATGAGGTACATATAAAGGATTCGGTTGAAAATTTTGCTTTGCAGTGGAAAACATAAATGGTATCTGTTAGACTGAGTGTAATAGTTGGTTCTGGTGCACTCTCCTGGTCTATTTTGCCCACGAAAGCGATAGTCGATCCACATTGGCGTCGCTTTCAAATTACTAAAACTATTGTTTTCATATCTCCAGTTCACAAAGTTTCTCAGTTTCAAATTTCCAAATGTGACAAATAAATTGATACTTTGGAATGAACCGATCGATTAACAGCAGACATAGCCTTGTTTATCGGTTTGTGTTTTCTTGAAAGTATATGTTTTCAATTTTAACCAAATTATTCTTTTGAAGCGATATAAGTTGCGACTCAATCCAATTTTCAAAGCAAGGTTTGCATATATAACATGCAGCTCTTTGAACCCCATTCTATAGTTCTGATTGACATGTATTCCTTGTACTTGCACTTCCAATGAATTAGAAAGATTCTGTTATTTTACGATGAAACAATTTAAAGTTTCTTTCTGTTGGATGATATTTGATAAATAAAATTAAGTTCTTTTGCGATCTTTCTGAAAGTTTCTATTCTTTTATAAAAGATTTGTAAATTGTTTACCAGCAATAATTATTAGTATTTTAGCATATGTTAAACACTTATTGTATATAATTAAAATTTATAATAATTTATATATATATAAATTATATTTAAAACTTATATAAATAGTAAATTATGTTTTGAATTTATGATAAATAATCTATGTTGTGACACTAGATTATTTTTAATTATTGGTAATTTATTTTTAAAATATTAAAATTTAATTTATAAATAATATAATAGATATAAATTAAATTAGATAAAAACTTGAAAGGGATTTTTAAAATTTCACTCATTGAAAAAAAATGTCTAAAATGTAAAAGAAAATAAAGAGAAGTTCTTAAAAATTCTCCTATATAAGAATAGTCGATCCTATTTGATATATTAGAATGAATTTTAAAATATTTCATAAAATTGGTTTAAACACAAATTCAAGGCCCTATATGGATAAATTTGTCCGTGAGTATTTTAAGAAGAAAATAGTGGAAAAAATAAATAAGTTTTTTATATGTTAAAAATAATTTATGTACGAGGTAAAATATTCTGAGAAAAAAGTCATTTATCTTCTCTTAAAAGATGATTTTGGTATGTCTCGTGTATGGTATTCAAGCAAAGAGTTGGTGCATCGGTTATCAGATTTAGCGAAAAATGAACAAATTTTCTCAGACCTTCATGGTTGTGGATAAGAAGCTAGTTTACTAAAGTAGAACCTGTTTTGAAATTTGGTATATCGAGATAATTAAGAGGAAGATAAGTTTTATGGAAATACTTGACACCATTAGTAGAATTGGTTTCCTTAGCCTTAGGTAAATCTACGGAAATAGTTCATACCATAATTCAAAGGAAAATTATTTCTGAGCCTACAGGAAACATAATTGTGATGGGGAAAGAAGAAAGTTTGATTCAAAAAATTTGGTTCACTGGCAAAGCAAAATTAAGAAATTAGATGTGCATAATAATGAATAGAAAATAGCATGGATCGGACTCTAGAGTCATACATGGTTGAAGTTTTATTATCCAACAACGGGGTTCTTGATGCACCTATTAAGGTTAAGGATGATAAGAAGATATTGAAGAGACAAAAGCATATGAGCTAAGCAAAAGACTTTTGGGGAATTGTGTAAAGGAACATACAAAATGCTAATAAAACTTGGCAATTGATGGGGGTAGAGGGATTTATAAGGTAGTAGTGATTAATGAAAGACAAATTTACTGCTGTCTTTTTTCTCATAAAAATAAGTGATTGTGTTTTAATATATTTTATAATATGACTGCTAAGTGATACGTTATTTTTCCAATTCTATATGAAAAATGATACAATCTCCGAATTATATTTCGAAACGCGTATTAAATGATTAAAATAATAATTTAAATTATAAAATATTAAATTAAATAATATTTTATAATAATTTATTCATAAATATTAATTTTTTAATGTTTGGAGGATGATTCGGCAAAAAACTTTCGGAGGCTGTATCTTCACTCATTCTATACATATATATTCTAAATGAAGCATCTACACAAAATGGGGATAAAAGGAATAAATTCGTTATCCATGCACTCTGAGAAAGAGACTATATTGGCACAGAAGTAATGTGATTTTTCTAATGTTGTGGCTAGCTAACGTTGTATGAGATTTAAATCCATTGAAATTATTGTTACTTAACCTAAAAAATTGGTGGCGGAACGGGCTGATTACTCTATGGCACTCACTCTGTAAAAGAAAAATACTTGAATACTTGCGAAGGCAGCATGATATTTCCCATCATCACATACACATAACTTAAGCGAATGAGAATGCAAAAAGAATCTAACTAAATTATCATCACAATAGTGTACGAAATATGTGTTTACTAATATCACCAGGAAAGGGAGCGTTCCACAGGAAATGAGATGTCATCCAATAAATTACCACTAATATATAAGATGGCAAAAAACATATCCTATTAGCACAAAACAGATGTTAAATGAATAACATTTGCAGCCCACACCAAAGACTAATTAAGATGTTAATGTAGAAGACTGATTTCCAAATACGGAAGCCCATTATTTCCATAACAATCAGAAACAAAAAAACTTCAGCAACAATCTTTTCATTATATGAATTACAACTCTTGTTTAAATCGTTACTAAATAAATACAAAGCCCACAATCTTTTCATTTTAGTTCAGGAAAGTTATCTGGCAAGTCAACTTTTGACAAGATCCATATTCACTTGAACCAAAATTAATAGTTTAATTTTTGGTCTGAATAAATCTCCCACGATAAGTGTGTTCAACAAGCAAAATCAGAATTTTCAACTTAAACTCCACAGTTGCATACTTTAAATGATGTAAGATGCAGAAAGAAACATGCTGATACCAGAGGCCGTGGGACATAGAAGAAAAAATCTGGCTTATACTTGCAATAACAAAGAGAACATTTATTCTGTCTCAGACAATACATAAGCAGTAATGTCAAGCTTTCAATGACTGTCCGGCTTTTACCAGATCTTTAAGTGCCTTAAAGATCTGTGCCTCAGACAAACCTTCCAATTTGATACCTTTCTCAACACCCAAATCTAATATTAAGGAACAAATACAGGAAATTAGGGTTCAACACAAACAGGTCTGCAATAAATAAATAAATATATATATATATATATTAATTTTATTCCTATATATAAGAAACAAGTACTTAATTCATCAAAATTTAAAATTTCAAACCAATGAAGCTAAATTATTTAGTTTTAATTAATAATGTCATAATTTAAAAATTTATTCTAAAAATATCCACCGAAATAAATGGTGTAAGTGATAATTATATTTAATGACATTTTTTTATCATAAATCAAGGAATAATTTTCTCAAATAATGAGCATGACTCAAGATATTAGTTGTCTAATAAATACATCCACTTTCATGAAAAATAAGTGAACGATTCGTAATAAATTAAGGTATAAAATTAAATTACCAATTACTACATTAAAAGTAAACTTACGTTTCATATAATTAGAACCTGAAATAAAACTCTCATTTATATATATATATATATATAAGAACAAAAGTAGTACCTTACACAATACAATAAAAAAAAGGTTCATCGAAATGGACAATATTCACATTGAGCCAATTTGGATGAATTTCTCAAAAAATACTTATGGATGAAATAAAATTAATCAAACTGTTAACCTTAGTTAAGATTAACTTATGTATCTCCACCTTTTTAGAAGCTCCTTTGTCTAGTTTTTCCATAAGCACCTATCTGTTCTTGTCCTAGAAATGTTTTAACAGTTGATTTTTTAAAATTGAAAAGCTAAGCTAATCAAAACTAGGCCATTATCTGTAACTTTTGTGCCTTTAAATTATGTATCTCAACCTTTTGAGAAGCTCTCTTGTCTGATTTTCCCATAAGCACCAATCTATAAACTAGAATTCTTGCCCTATAAATGTTTTAACAGTTAAGTTTTACAATTGAAAATCTCCCATAGGCTAGAAGCTAATCAAAACTTGATCATTATTTGTAACTTTCGTGCCTTTCTTAAGGCAAGTGCAATATTCATATTCCTTATTTTAGATTCTTGCCTCCTAAGAAATTTGTCACACATACCTATTTTATTTACATTTCATACGAAATAATGTTGAGCAAGTATTTTAAAAGAAAGGATAACATAATAATTTCTTTCAGCGATAATTTAGAAGTGCACAATAGGAGGGTATTTCTTTCACAAAATAAAAACGTGTGATGTGTTGAAGTATCAATGTTGCTCAAAAAATGAATCACCCTACAGATTGCAGAAGGCATGAACCTCATCCCCAAAAATTATTCTCCAACAAGTTAGATATATTAATGAAAGATGTTTAGTACTCTATGGATGGATTCAATTGGCTGAGATTTCAGCCATGCAGATTCAACACCTGTACAGCTGAATTTTCAGCCACAATATATAAATTTAGTGTGTATGCAAGAAAGTATGCAGTATTTTGCTTTCTGATAAAAGTCAAAACTGGGATAATATTAAATTTTACTTTCTATCAACTACTAATACTATTATTTTTCTTAACTTTGGGGCACAAATATGAAATTAAGGGGCAATATTTGTGAGACTTTACCTGGTTCTAAGTTATAATATTTGTGAGACTTTACCTCATCACAAGACAAAGAAAAAAAAGGAGGTGCAGCCTAACAATGCTGGCACTGAAAGTAGTCTACCCGAAAAAGCACATTCAAATACAAACCCTATTCCACAAAAACTTTGTACGAAGTTCCTAAATATGAAAAGCACACTAAATACAAAAGTATTGCATGTCTAAACTACACATAATTGACGGTGGAAAAAAAGACCCAGAAAGATATTTTCTTGTTTTAGGAAACTTTATATAAGAGAATACTATTTCTCATCTATTATTCTCTGTATTTTCTTCCATTCTTATATCCTTGTTAGCTTACTGTAAGAGAATACTATTTCTCTTTTTGTTTGAATTCTTCCGCCCCTGTCAGATTGTTATAACTGACTACAGGTCAGTTATAACAACCTTTCTTCTTGAGCCAATACCTCTATATTATAAATAGGCCCTATGTACAGAGGGTTGGCACCAATTGTACAATCTATCATTTCAGTAATAATAACAAAACGTCAATTTCTCTCTCAGTTGTATATTCGGACATATTTTTGCACTGTTTTCCATTGCACATAGACGTAAATGCTTACATGTCAAGATTATCCCAACTGAATCTTAGAACATGAAGCTCCATTAGCAATAGCATTCTAAACTGTCCAGAAACTCATGCAGATGGTGTCTGAAAATATGTTCACTGTGCTTTTAAAATTATTTTCATGTAAGTCCAACCTATATTCACTCTTATGTGTTTATGAGTCAAGCCTACAAATCAAGTCTACAAAAGCTCCACAAGTTTGCTAAACTCTAGAGTTTGATAACCATGCCAGCAGCAACACTGGTTTTTTTTTTTTTGGACACTGTTTCTGAATTGTGTAAACAACTATTGTTTTGCTGAATTTGTGTAGCAGACAGCTACTTTTTTCGCTTCATGGCTGTTATAATTTGTATAATTGTATCTTTGTCTTGAAACTTATATGCTATTATATATGTGTGTATGTTTTCATTTTTCATATGTTTCTTTATGTTATTGAAGAAAGAATATAACAATAGAATTTTCAATTTTTCGCTAGATTCTTACACTGCATATTAAATGAACAAAGTTAGAGTAGTGGAAATGATCATGGTTCTGAACTACTCATTATAGTGGTAGAGATGAAGCCAAATATTCTTTTGCATTGTACTCCTTATAACCAATTTCAATTCTCAAAAATCAGTTGTACTCAACCAATTCCACTTACTTGCAGACAATCTTTGAAGTTCAGAACAGCTAACCCATTCGTACCCATAAATTGAAGAACAGTTAACCAGAAAGATCACAAATGAAATGACAATATCAGCTATAATATAGAAAACAATAGAATTACACACAAACAATGCCAAATGCATCAAAAAAATCTAAAAAGCTTCCATAAAATTCGATTTAAGAGAGTACCAAAAAAGTACATCAAGTAAATTTAAGAAGCGGCCAACAAGTAGCCTTGGTACCCTGTACTCAAAGCATCACAAACAATTTATTAGAAAATTACACACTACACATAACTATAAGTCAATTCCACCTACAGATAATGCCCCCAACAAATTAACATAAACAAATAGCACCAATCCAACCACACAAAACTGTTTTCATAATAAGCATTGTTCTCACGCTATGAGTAATAAACTCAAATGAAAGGGTAATAAGCATAATCTCTTAGACTGTCAATTCGCATAACAGAAGGCGTATCTGTTCGAATCTAAGGAGAAAGAAATACGATAGCAGGCAATAATTTTGAATCAGATAACATCAATTTTTCTACAAATAAAAATCGTAATACCTTAGTGTGCACAACTCTTCCCTAAACGCCTTAGTCTCGCTGTCGTTACGGTATAGGAGGAATGGGTGTTAGAAAAAACGGCTTCTCTAAAGCCCAACCTATTTCTAAATCCACCTGTTGAATTTCCGGAAAATTATGAGATTACGATTGAGCATCACGTTTTAACGAAATTTAATACATCTAAATTTATATATATATTTAGATTATGTATGTGTTAACCTAATATGTGGTTCAGTGATAAGAGTTGATCTACGTTTAAGCAAGGTCAGAGATTCGATTATAAAGATTATGTATGTGTTGATTTATATTATTTTTTAAATAATTTTATTTATAAATAATAAATAAAATTATTTTATTATTATAATTATATTTGTTTATAATTATTAAGAGTATAATTATTATCAAATATAATTA